GACCGAAATACTGAGGTAGATTAGGGCGCAATTCAGAGAGCAAATAGAAAATAGTCACTGCATGGTGTAATGCAGACGTCTTTTTATCGAAGGTTGATTATGTATATTATTTACTGTGACCTGTTTTATGAAGGCTCCCTAACCTAGGCCCCTTTTTGAGCCACGATGCGATCTCGACACCTTGAGTGAACGTGGTACACTGATTTTATCGCGAGTATGTGAAAGTTAAGTCAAGGTGGACAGGAGTTATAGCCGTCTTTGTCTTTCTTTAAGGTAGGTGCTTCGTAAAATGTAGAGACTAGCGATTATTTTCATCTTTAAAAAAACTATTTCAGTATTTCAAGGGGAGGTAAGTCGTCATCATATCGTGCCGTATTGGCGTTATTTTATAATGTTTACTTACAGTCATCAGTTTATATGTCAAATTAACAAAACTTGACATACGGGGGCAGGGCGGATCTTTTCTTGTATTTCTCATCATGAAAGAAGATGACTGACGCGGACCAAGCCTATATATTTTTGAATTTGTCCTTTCCGTGATGTTTCCACTATATCATACACCGAGGTTCCCAGAGAGCACTATTGTGCATGTAGCATTTGTACATATATGTATTACATATGAGGTGACACCGTTAGCAGGCGGTTGTAAAGCAAACCTGCATTGCACTTATGCTTTTTATATAAGTATAAAGGGGGTAAATACTAGTGACAAGAAATTCACATATTCCCGTCACTTAACGTTGTTAAATTAGGCCCTCTATGTTCAAGTATAGGCCTACTTGGTAGGTCGTGTTCTTGTACAGGTTTTTACACTCCGAATAATGCTTAAATTTCGTGTGTCGAAGCAACTTTAACCAAAATAAAAAATTCTATTCCAGTAATTATATGTTAAGTGTAAAATACCGGTCCGGTATCAACCAGTCTTTCTTGAACATAAAATTATGGCATACTAGTAGCTTTCAGTAGTGATGGTCCTTATCTACATGTAGGCTACATGTATGTCATATTTGCGAAACACATGTGCATGGATGACGTAGGTCATATAGCCTAGTTTTGATTTTGCAGACGACATAAACCTTGCCAATGAAAACAACGTAGCTAATATGACGAATATTACCACTCAGTTTCCCATCACCACAACTGGGCTCCACCATAAGGGAGAAAGTAAGTAGGCCTACTTTTTTAATTTCTGTGAATTACTATATGTTATTATTTCTTTTTTTTTCTGAAGTCTTTTAATGCCGGCACTGTGGATATAGGCTACAGTTTTGCACTTAATAACTTAAATTAAAAGCAAATTCTCTTGTTGAAGTCTTCCTGTAATATTTTGCATCATTTTTTTTCTTTTTAACAATTCGATCATCGTCTGCTTTTTATCAATCTTTTAATACTTGTAGCTTATTTAGCAATTTTTATAAAGATTTTGCGCTTTACTTTCGAGTTATACTTTAATAATAATTCAAGAAAACATTTATTTACATGTATCAACGTGTGTTAATGGTACATATTTATTTCCATGATCAGCAAATCTCGAGGATTTAATTCACACAAGCACGCAATGGTCCGACTTAAAGTTCCATTGGGGCATAGGATGCTCCATTTTCGTTTTACTTGGCCTCGTTCTCGTGACCTTGCTGCATTTCCGGTAAGCGCCAATGATTGTCAATATAGGCCTACTTTAAGTATTGTTGTCTATGATGGAATAAATAGAGTATATATGTAGTGTCTACAGTGGGCACAAAAACTGTAATTTCTTGCACTGAATTGCTTTCACTGTGCGTGTTTGCTGACAATGGTTTGAAAGGAAAGGATACGTTCTTTATGCCTTCAATCTGATAAAATTATTTTTCCTGAATTAAGTCAACCTTTCCTGATGACAGTCCATATCCTTGATGTTTTTTATTAGTGAAAAATATACTAAACTAATGGCTTTAAATTGTCAATGTTCCTATCTTTATTCTCTAGCCATTGAGATGTTTAAATGAACAATGTTTATCTATATTTGCTAATCTTATATAATTTGATATTGAAATGGTGCCATAATACGTTAATTGCGTGTGAAAATAAGCTGACGAAGGGCGCAGTGACTTATATATCATTTGTTTGACTTACATCCCATTTTGATATTTTTATCGTAGAAAAATGTACCTCGAACCAGACAGAAAAAGGCGACGAGAGACAGAAAGATTTGCCAAGCAGCAGGGTAAAGAAATGACCTAACTTTTGATATAAACGTTACGAATTTTTCCTGTACTTTTCGTAATAAGCGGCATGTCCCCAACTAAATATAAGAAGAAACGTGATTTATTGAAAAGGAATATATGATTGAAATTGTGAAACCAACAGCCCAGACCGAACAAATTGTCAGATTAAAAGCAATTATTTATATATCAGTAAATACCACTCTTGTAAAATACATGTTGACCTACGGTGACCTTTGCTTCTGTATTTATTATCCCTACGATTCATGCTGAATTTACAGACCATTACGAATTCATTATTTCCAGCACGAATTCAAATATCCGACAGAGAGGTTATCAGATTAAATGAACGCCCGATAAAAAAGGACGATTTCATAGATGAATATAACAGACGCAAACGGAAGAAGATTCTGGAACAGGAATTCTGGGTAAGGTGTCCCTGACTGCATCGGGCAATGATTTGTAGTTAATGTTACTGAAATTTTTCTCGAAATGATGATTGCACTGTCGCAGCACAAAAAGCCACCATACAACTCTTCGCACACGAAACCAAAATTAGTATGAAATATTGTAGAAACTAAATTAGTAAATAAATGAATAAATAAATAAATAAAATAGAGTGTGACAGCATTAGGTATTAATGAAAAAACAATTTGAATGGTGTCATGCCACTCGTTTTTTTTTCTTTTAATTTCTTCCTCCCTGTCTCGTGTTTATACGTAAACGTCTTTACAGGCATTGATTCGTATGGAAAAAACGAAGAAGACTAACATCGATTCAAATGGGCTAAATGGAATGGACCGCTTGGTGAAAGTTTTCCAGACTTCATGTAAGGAACCTTTATGCTGCCCTTCGAGTGTTTGTTTGCTTATTCTAAAAATGTTGAATATTTGTTTTATAGCAGAGTCATTGGTATTCTTGCGCTTCTTTTGTTTTGATGGTGAATAAAATAGTCACGGTATGTGTAAGATATAATAAGAAGTTATTATATCAACAAACACAGTCGGATGCTATGTGATAAAATGGTTGAAATCCTTTTTATTATTGTTCATATTATATGTCTTATCGTGTCTCGAATTTTATCTTTCTCGAATGAAAGGCGTTAGACCGAGTATAATGACTGCATGTAGGCCATTTTTTGTCGTGGCGTCAGTTACAAGTACGCTTTAAATTATATACTGCAGCCAAATATGTTAGTAATTATGGTGTTCGGCTGACATAGGGACATAAAACCACTGAACCTACATATTCTGTTTCTCTTGCGAAGTCAAAGGCGAAACAAGCACATGCATAAAAGTCATGTTATTGTAAAAGATATATTATTACAGCCAAACATAGCGGAACAAGGGGGTAGCATGGTAATAACATTATGCAGTAAAGTGATAAGATCTTTGGGATATCTTCAGAGATGCTTGTCTCCATGAGGACAAGATAGGGCCCTATTAGGTTTGTTTACACAATACCAAGAGGTGCAAGTCTTTCGCGGCGCTGGTTCGAACTTCGCCTAGTGATACCATATACGTTTAGAAAGAAAGTTTACGCACCAAGTGAAAGAAATCGAAAGGTTTTGTCCAACAAACCATCAAAACAGAGTACCATTTGCAGAAATGATTGTTTATCATCATTGAGTATGGATAGAGCGTTGGATAATCGCCAGTTTAAACAGAAATGGAACTGCTACAGTTTTTGGTGTTTTTCTAATAGTTTCATGCACTTGCCTTAAGAAAAGTTTAAAGGTCTCTCCCCTCGTGAGGACAATCAGTGAAACAGAAAAGATGCCCTTCGGACATAAACGTTTATTACCCATACGTGATGTGGGTATGAATTGAGGTCTATCTGCGCGTATACCAACACGGTTGATTTTTGACATGTGGAAACATCTGAAAAGCTACGAGTTGATTCATAAGAATGTATGCGTTTGAGTTTAAGACCACTCATTCATTAAAACGAAACTACAGAAATGTTTAGACACCGTGTGATCGAATTATTTTAAGATGGGATTGTAATGGTTTTTGTGTTTAAATCATTCAGTATCATTTTAGTTAATATTGGACTGTATGAATGAGATAATATACAGTACTAGATTGCTATGTATATTTTAAAGGACGCAGCGGTGTAGACACAAATTCTACAGTTAAACATATTTAAGCCAAACAGAGAAGTCACATGGCCCCTGTGTCCTAACAAACATTATTGCTGTTATATGTTTTGTGCATCAAACCGCAATCTTTCTTTTCTTACTAGTTGCTGTAGCGAACTCACTGTATGATGTCGCCTCAAAGAAGAAATTTTTAAACAACATATACACAGCCCCACTTAAAATAGACGTAAGTGTTCTGTACTTCGGGCTTATGTAAAGGCATTAATTCTCATTTTACTTTAATTTATATAGCTCATGATAATTTATCATGCTAACTAAAATCTTTTAAAAGAGGACTTTCAGATCTAGATACAGATATTTGAATACAAGAATTTTTGTTCGATATCAGAAATTTCATTTTATTCTACATTTAACTCTTCTTTGTAGAGTTTTGAAAAGAAGAATGCGTTTGAAGCAGTAACAGGTGGGTCGCTATATTTTTGTCAAAAAAGATGATAATTGTATATTTTAACACCTAATCAAGTTATTTATTTATTTATATATTTATTTGAATCATAACCAGTGATTTCTATCTATCTTCGTGCTGAAAACTTACATGTGTACGTGTAGTTGATGCTAGTGTGGCAATAATGTTCTCTCCACAGCGCCCCTGCCTCAGACCGACCGTAATTCTTACCTGTATGTTTTATTTATCTATGTACATAATACTTACATGTACGTTGATTGTGGACATGTAGTTAAATGCTAGCCTGACAAATATGTTTTCTCCACAGCGCCTATGTCTCAGGCCGACTGCAACATGTTCTGGGAAATGGTCTGGAGAGAAAACGCCGCCTCTGTTGTCATGCTAACAGAGAGGTTCGAATACAGTAGGGTGAGGTGCCATTTTCCTCGTTGTCAGTGTATGTCAGGTGTATGTCAAGGGTGTATGTCAGTATTTACCTGTACATGTATTATTCGTGGTCTAGTATCCGTATAAGTTAATACCAATACACACACAAAAAAACTACTTTCCGGGATACGTCCAAATGGTACTGGTATTATGTAAGGGTTTATTGATCAGTCTTCGTGCCTGATTTATAGCATTAATTTTATTTATTTTCAGTGGTAATAAAGGTCACGTTTTTTATGGGTACATATTTTTTTTATTAAAATCATGCATATACATCCACAATGCATCTTAGACTGTCGCTTCCTTTTTTTAAATACAGGTTTTAAGTTTCAAATACTGGCCGGATAAACTTTCCGACAGATGGCACTACGGAAACATAAGGGTGACGCTACAAGACACATTAAAGACAGCAGACTGCTTTGTCAGGACCATGGTGCTGCAGAAGGTATTTATCAACATTTTACCTCCCAGGTCCAGAAAAAAATCCAAGTTCACTTTTAAATATTGTCATTAACATAAAGCACCGATTACTGGAGGATAAAATAAGTACGTGAATAGATTAAATGATAATGACAATAATAAAGTAAATAAAAACGTATTCTTATATGATGCTTAAGTGGATAAAAATGGCAAAGTTGATATTGGACATTACAGGGTAATTTTTAACACGGTCAAACATTTCTTAGGTACTTGTGACAATTATTCGCTCCGTTTTCTTTTTATTTTCTGCATTAACATGTGCCAATAATATTAAAAGAGATACGAAGTCACATCCGTAAATAGTAAGTAGCATCAGAGCAGAAAATAGGCCTAATGGTCATCATCATAACCACCATTTGTCCGTGCCTCCATGTCAATTATACGCTGACCTTTCTAGAAAATGAGTGGCCATTAAAAACTGAATGTTGAAGATGACTAAAGAGTTAAGGTAAAGAGACAACCGCAGGTCTAGATAAAGACTGAATGACCCCGTACTGTCAGAGCGTCGCTTCAAATGACACTCATTAAATGATACTGGTATTTTCCAAAGATAGAGGGGGTTCGGACTCCCTAGACGGGAAGTACTTGTGCCTCGATTTGACCGATTGTAGTGTGCATCGAAAGGCTCACCGAGTGTTCATAAGCGAGCTCAGCACCTGTGCTATATTTTATGGGCACATATGGGACGAAGAAAGCCAAGATATGTTGTTACTCGGTTCTCGTATCATTTTAAGTGTACTGTGCGTGAAAGTGACTAAATAGCAGAATTATCAACGGAATCAACATACCTCCTTCTTGGGAGTTCAACCCCTTTGAAGGTGCTGCATAATACTTAAATATTTGTTAAACTTGTGCTGCAAAACAACGCGAGAGTGCGTGCACACACACGTACGCACGCACGCATGCACGCTCCAATAGTGCTGTTTTACACACATTTTACTTCAGCGTTGAATCAACAAAAAGTGTGTTTTAATATGACTTTTGGAATGACCTTATAAAGTACAATTTAATAATAATAATAAGTTTATTGAGCACTAAATGATGTGAATACATTTGCAGGCTCTCTAGACTACAATATTTACACAATATATATATGGATATACAATTATATATGTTTACATATGTAATATGTTAAATTATACATGTGTTATATTAAAAAGCACTTGTACAGAGGAGAACGACAATGAAGATACAGACTTGACATTTAATATGGAATATTTTTTCCAAATCATTTTTCATCAGTTTTTTTCCTATTTTACTGACTGATAAATGAAAATAAGGATTAAAATCGTGTTCTAATAACTTTTAATTATCTCTTTGATGTCATTGTGACATCAGTTCATTAATGGAATTCGCCAGAGAAGCAAACAAAAACACATTGCCTTTTCTACTTCATACGGCAACCATTAAATGAGATATTTTAGATCTCCATATTTTCCAAATTATTGTCTGTAAAAGAGTTACACGCTCCACAAAGGACCCTCATGTCAGTGTCTAGTCACAGTAACAGTCGCTGTTACGCCTGACCTCTTCTGGCTGCTACCAGCGCTCTCAAGCGGCAAGGCATTCCTTGGGATATGTTTTTAGAGTTCAATCTGGAATAACATTCCAGGCATCGGTCGAAATCTGTCCAATTTGGCCCAGTTTTGTTGTAGGACATGTAGGCCATTCATTTGGCGAGTAATGGCCTACCCACATATTGTCTACGTGGTTCAAATATGGCGGTTTTGATGACCAAGGTAGCTGTTCATTCCCTTGGTTCTCTAAGTAATCTGTTATTAAAAGTGCTCTGTGTGAACCGGCAATCCCACCCTACAACCTAAAATTGTTCTTAAGGTGCCCCCTATCAAATGATAGTCAAGTGGTTCCCAGATTATTCCTTTATTTAATCTGGTTCAGGTTTTCGTCGATGACTGCCATTGGTGTTTTGGCACCAATGTGGTATCCACTTCAAATACTGACGCTGTTAATGACCTAAGTCACTTTAGAGGCGGCACACACTTCGTCGTTGGCCTCTTCTGGATGTCTGTAAACTCTGTTTTGACTAGTTGAGCGGTACAGGTGAAATCTTACCTCAATAAAGAAAGCCACGAGGTTTCAGTGTTCAACCCAGAAACGGTCATGGTCCCTAATTCATTAGAGAAACATACAACGATGTTTTGCTGTTTACAGTGGGTTCCTCGGAGGTCGTCTGATATTCTAACCTGCAAAAACCAGTTTGGTTTTCGCTAAGGGCCTTGAAAAATGCGTTTTGGCGGCAATTTACCCCTCATTCTGAACGGACTGGGTGGTTTTTGTTTAGTTGCAACGGCATATCCTGAAAGACAGTGGGTCCTGTACTCTGGTGGTAAGATTTTAATACATTGGGTGTGGCCTCTATGTAGGTACATCAGTCTGGGCATTACTCTATAAAACTGTGCGGACCGTTTCGTTTGGCGCAATTAACTGTCTGGCAATGTCTGTCTTTTTCGCGCCATTTTGCCACAGATTAACAAACTTGCAAAGCACTGCATAGCTCATTTTACACACTGCAAAACCGACCACTTGCATGCAAAATTTCAAATTCTTCTATGCAGTAGTTGCCGACATATGGATACTTTTTTGACAGAACCGTGCTTTGCCAAAGCCAAGCTTTGACCTGCCCAAAGGAGCACTACCCAATTAAATTACTTCATATTACATAATGCAGCAGCGTAACAAACCTGGTATTCAGTTAATTGGAAGCGACACACCTGACTACACACTTCTCCATTCACATATCTTATATGAGATATTAGTTTTTAGAAAAAAGAACGCATTTCTACCTAGGCACACCTTCGAAACTGAAATATTCCATATTAAATGTCAAGTCTGTATTTATTTTCCGTTTTTCTACGAGTGATTACATTTTGCTGTATTCATAATTGACCGAGTATACGTACTCTTCCTTATAATTCAACCGTGCGAATCCATTGCATTTTCTGTTTTATATGTATGCAATTTATCATCTTGTATTTTTAGAAACACGGAGTCGAGAAGCGAACGATAAAACATTTCCAAATACGCAGTTGGAATGGAGGCCGTCAACCCACCCCCGCCATGTTGGTGGATCTGTGGCGGAGAGTTAACGAGGAGATGGAACACAGAGGAAGACTTTGTGGACCAATCATTCTGCACGAATCGTAAGTTTTATTTTTTCACATCAACCACTCTTTATTAATTGGTTAAATGTACATCGATGAACAAAACCGCGGCATTGTTTATCATTTTTACTTTGTTGATTTTATGTCATACCCCCTCCCCAGTATCTGTTTGCCTATAGTCACTAGACCACAGAAGTTACTTGACAACTGCTGACAGAAAAACTAGTTAAGTGGTAATCCTTACGTTATGGCTTTGCTTCTTTTAATCTCACGCCTGTGTTTTCTAGTGGTCGTTATTGAATGCATGGCGGTCGTTATTGAGTTTTTAAACAATCTGTAAATTCAAACATCGACACTGCATGTTCAGCAAAGTAAAACGAACGTATTGTTGGGATCTTTTGAAAACATTTTGGCAACCCACTCCGAACGTCCGTAGATTTAGGGAAGTTGAATCTTTGGCACTTATGTTGTTTCATTTATTGCATGGATAAACATGCTTCCTTTTTTTTTAGAAAACAAAGCTTCGCCAAAACCGGTGTGTATATCGCGTTCCATGAAGCTATCACACGACTGCGTGCCAAAAATGATGTTAACATTTTCAACTATAGTTCATATATGCATAAGGTTTACCCAGGGTTGACTAGTGATAAGGTAAGATGAACTTTGAATTGAAATTTTGGAAGGTTGATATCATAATGCATGCATTTTATGCGGGGTACATTGACGGCAACTTAATTATCTATATAACAAAATAAATTAAACATTTGATTTTGCCTTACTTTTCTGCGTACTTACTGAAATACATTAAACTTTGCTCATTTGTTCTTCTATTTCACATATTAGAAAGTCAAAACATTCTCACACAATCTTGTTATGTCGATTTTATGGATGCAAAATGATACCGTAGTGATCGGCGAAGGCAATTAAAAGAAATACTTCTTGTATAGAAACAGCTCGTTCTTTCAGGAATCTTACGAGTTCATTTACGACGTCGTTGCCACGTTTCTCAATTGCCAGTTTGCCGGAGTAACGGTGGAAAAATTCGAGGGCCTATGCAAAAACCTTAGCAGTAAAAGGGGTTGGTTTCACAGGGACGGGTATCAAAAGGAGTTTGAGGTATGTAAACCATTGCTCGCAAACTATTACATCAAAATAACATGGAAGTGTTTTAAAACATTTAGATAACTTGAAAATTTGTTCCCTATAATGAATAAATTTCAGTTTTGCTGTACTGATTCTCTTAGTTTTTATGGTGCATGCGCGTTGGAACATTTCATCAGTGCTCCGCGCAGAATTTTTTGATGAGTGCCGAATTGCGGTTGTTGTACCAATGATTTACTCGCTCTGTATTGAATATCCCCTACCGCAATGGGAATATATTCGAAGTTAAATACACATTAAACCCCGGAAAATTTTTTAAAGTAATGGTTTTTTCTTTGCAAACATTTTTTACTTTAATTTTAAAGCTGCTGAACAATATGGCGCCTGTGCTGACCCCTAGCGACTGTGCGGCAGGTTACATGTTAGAAAACAGGCGGAAGAACAGAGATGCTATTTTACTGCCACGTGCGTATTTATACTGTAATTTGTGTAATGTATAGCAATTAACTAAAAAGCTCTTATCCACGACTATTAGCACAATAGCAATGTTTATATGCTTAACTACAACTTTTCTCAATTCATGCTCAATTTCTCTTTGGTGTAAAGGCCAACGGATAAACAAAATGTTTATTTCATATTTCTCATGATAATCTGTGTGCTTAGTGTCTTTACAAACTCTCCTCTTTTAAAGTATAAGCATACATATTTCCTCTCAAGTGGGTTTCTATTTCTTTTACGTTACAATGAATACTTAGTGTAAATCATAATTTGTACTTGTAATTTTTTTTCATCCAGCGGATAAAGCTCGGCCGTACCTGAAGAGCATTCAAAGATCGTCCGGGACTGACTACATCAACGCTCTTTTTGTCGATGTAAGTTTTATTACGGAATGTTACCCATTCAAATGGACATAGTGTGGGCTATGACAGGGAATGTGGGCTGTACTCTTGATGTTTTTAGCATTTGTTTTAATACTTGTAGAAACCTTGTTTGTATGACACAAGCATGCTATAGTAGGAACAGGGACGTAGGCTGTGGTTTGGGGAGACGGGCATCCAGATATTTGTGTAAAAGATTTATTTTTGGACCTATATCAGGTATAACCCTTTCCTTTTGCCCAATCCACCAGAAGACTTAATTTTCCCTCAGTCAGCATCTAGATAAGCACCTCAGGCTGTACAAATAACTTGCTTACCTGTATTGTTAGTCTTCAACAGTCGGAACATTCATAGTCAGTCAGAGCATTTTTCTCAGCCTTGACGAATAACCAAAATTTAAAGGTTTTGCGGTAATAACAAGCTGATGACAACCAGTGTTTTTCGTCTTTATTCTTAATTTGTTCATTTCTGGAACTTTTTAGGGATACAGCGAATCTAATGCCTTCATAGTGACGGAATGGCCGTCTACCAAAGGAACGGTCAATTACCTATCTACCGTCGGGGACTTCTGGACGATGGTGTTTGACCATGACATAAGTGAAATAGTGGTGCTGCATAACTTTAAACATAAAACGGTATGTCTGAGGGACGTAGCCTTTCTACAATCATAATATATACATCTGCTGAATTTTTTTATTATGTTGAAAATCGAGAATGAAGAGCTCTCTCAAATTCCTTCTAATGATATTCAACATAAAGTACTTTTATTTCAGAATAATTTTATTTTAGCAGAAATTGTAATGAAGAAAAGAAATTTTTTAACGTAAAATAAACCGTGTAGTCCATCAATATGTTTATATATTATGATTAAATATTCTTTGAAAATGGGATGCACGAACTGGATGCACGAAAATTGTTTCTTTAAAAGTTGACAGGCGTCGTGTATGATAAATGAAATATATTTCCATTTAATCAGTTTCGCGAACCGTTCTGGCCCACTTCGATACAATGGGGTGAAGACTACAATAACTTCAGAGTCTCTCTGCTCTCAGGGAAACGACAACCCGAATACATGGTCAGGAACTTTTCTGTCATGGTGAGTGACAATATTATGACTTTTATAGAACCTTAAGGCTTTCTGGAAATTATACACTGTTTCTATGACTAAGAGATTTTCCTGATACTTCATGCTTATTTCAATATTTTAAATAAGTTTTAGCGATGTTCATATCAAAAAGGCATCGCACTTGTGAAGCAGATTGCAAACTTAAATTATTTTACATATATATATTATTTATTTAGTTATCCATTTATTTGTCATGTTTGGTATTGGTTTATGTTTCAGAAAACGATAGACGACAAGATGTACCGCATGCTGGGAGAACTTGGCGTGGTAAGTGCGCAGGAAGGACGGACAGTTAGATAGTTATATAAATACACAAATAAATAGATAGGAAGAAAGGAAGGAATACCGTTCGTCTCTTACTCTGCTGCTTTAAATGGCATGTCCAAAGAGACAGCTTTAATGAAAGCATTTTTTTTTGTTTATTCACAGAAACTTGCAAAGAAAGAACGTGCCTTCAACTCGGTGTGTAAATACGTCACCATGATTCAGCTTCTCAAGTGGCCAAAATACAACCGCAAAACTGGAAGACTAAAGGAACAGCAAGGACTCATACAGGCAGCGCTCCTGGCGGAGGAATTGCAGACTAAGAACGCGTCCAAAACGGGGAAAGAACGCCCGATTTGTGTTGTATCAAAGTATGTCTGCTTGGCAAAACATTTTGAATATAGTATTATACATTCCAAAGTGTTAAGAAAACTCAAATTCTATCGATATAAACCAAAACATAATTAAATTGCCCCACTTATTAATTACTTCTTGCTGAATTTTCAATCGTATTATTTGATTTTGAATAATAAGATTCTTGCGATCATGTACTGTTTTTAATGTATATATATATATATATACAGGAGCCTGTCTTTGTTAAATGTCTTGCACTTGGGGAAATTGACGGACTGACAATGTGAGTTTTAACTTCTTCAAGTTACATGATTATAATATTGATATATTTCTATTTGTTCTGAAGGGATGGAGTAGGTAGATGTGGAGTGTTCTGCACTGTGAGTAACGCGCTGAGCAGGATCAAAGCCGAGAGAAAAGTTGACATCTTCACCACAGTGAACGCCGTCAAAACAAACAGATCCGTGCTAGTCAAAAACGTGGTATGTCTGCCTCTCCATTCTCTCTCTTCTTCTCTCTCCAACTACTAGATCATTCTATTCAATCACATCGATATATTGCGCTGATATAATTCAAACGTTTTAAAAAGTAAGATTTACTGTGAGATTTATGAATTATTAAATGCGTAATTTAAAATGAAAGAAATTCGATAGTACGATCCTTCAATATCTGTATGTTTTTGTGCACGTGTACGCACACTCGCGTATATACGTGCGTGCATGTGCCAGAAAACAAAATGAAATTTTGACAGTAATAAAAATGAATTTATTGTCATTACAGAAAGAATACAGACTTTGCCACGATACTGTTATGGATTACATCAACGCCGAAACTACCGGAATAGTGAACGGTGGTGGTATAATTAATGTGGCGTATTGTAACGAGACGGAGACAGAGACGGAGAAAGAGTCCCACGTTTAGCAAATGATTAAGACAAAGATAGCGAAAAGAAAGGAAGTTGTGCAAAGAAATATCAAGGATGGACTCACAAAATGCATTTGACCATCTGGAAGGTGGCGGGAAAAACCGGAAAAATGCAGCGAGACCAACAAAAATGATTCGATGTTTATCGCATGCACTGAATCAGTGCCTTACCTGTAGAGGCATCTGTTTTTAAAAAGTATTGTGACTATCCTCCTCCTGTGTGACACCATCTTTATCAGAAAATGGAAAGGGGAAGTTTTTGCCTTGGTGGCAGACTGACTGACAACACACAAAGGAAAAACACTTCAAAATGGTTCTCAGTATCAAACTTCACTGGGGGCAGCACATGGCCGTCTATGAAAGTGGCATTTATACGAAATTTTTATGCTTTTTAATTCAGTGGGCAATAGTTTGAAATATCCATGCCCATTTTTCAGACAGAACGGAAGTGAATTTTGGTGTCTATAGCCTTTAACCTCATTCAGTGAGACCCGGTGGGGGAACCTTTACATCTTTTTCGAAAAAAATATTATAAATTACAATAACTTTATGGTACTGAATATTTTGTATGCAAAATTCTCGTGAGACATATAGACTTAAAGTTTTTAAATTGGCTCTCACAACCTCCCAGGATTTAAGACGACATTATTGGTTGCTATTTGGTATGCAATCTATTTTATACGGTATTATATATCTGTAATAGGAGCAATGTGGTACCTTACCGGTATTTGTTTAAGTAAGATTGCCATAGAGCCATCATTCCATTTTATTTCTCTCTTATTTTAAATATAAGTTAATAATTATCCCAGTTTACCGTCACTCATTCATTTGAGATTAAGGCCCGTTTTTATTATTACACTCATGCCACTTTGTAGACGTTTGATAAGTTGTTTATCGTTCGAATGACAGGGGGCATAGAAAAGTTACGGCTGAATAAATAGATTCGCTGGCGAATCAGAAGACGATAGTTACTCTTTCGATATTTATGTATAAGAGGCACTGGACTGAAATAAGTGATATATTGTGTGCATGTACCTCACTTTATTTATTTTTTTACAACTTATTTATTTACTTGTCAATTTATAAGACAACTACACTCCAAAGAATTTACAGCTGAAATTCCAATTAATCTCCAGACTATGGATCTAACTAACAGGGAACTATTTTGAAAATTGTTCACAATGATTTGTATCCCGAGCTGAAACACCAACCGAACCGTTTGACTTTCAACAATGTTATTTGTGTACTGGATTTATGTATTTAATATCCCACAATATATCCTGCATTCTATGAAATGGACGTGTTTTTCTTTTAACTGTGACTTAATCCCGCAATTAGTCTTGTTTTTCGTGCGCCTTTGTCCAACATACAGACATCACTGCTGCGGAATGAATTCTGAAGAAAATAATAATGGGCGCCGTTAGATTGTGAACTATCTTCCATGGAAGTTCTCCGTAAAACGAATGGAACAATATATGTTCTTCTGCCTTTTTAAGACCAAATGTGCTGCAGAGCCACAGGCTCAGATTACATATTATAAGAAAAACCAGCAGACCCCGCCCCTTCGCGTGCACAACACTTCTTCCGGAGGGAATTACTTCCGGGTCACGACGGTCATTGTCGGCTAGGAATGCCGTTTGTAAAGTTGCCTGGATTAACCCCAAAACAACGAGAAGTAGAGCCAAAATGGCATTCAAGTGATCGGGGTGTCCTTGACTAATGTACCAAATGTTTGGCATGGCGATAAAAGTGTACTGCAGATAAGCTCCAAATGTTGCCATAAATAAAAGATTGTCATCCACTGTGTCGGTTTCCATTCCTAGATAAACTGCATTTCTCATATAACGCAACGCCACCAACACTGTGATTGAATTCACCAAGAGCAGAAATATCTCCAGACAAAGATACAGAGTATAAGCAAGCTCGCTGTTTTCCGACTCAGAGTTCTCGCCATTGTCAAGAGAGATTAGAAAGTAAACGAGAACCGCAAATGTAACCATAGCAACAGAGACTCCTAAGAGAGCGCCAATTGAGGAGGGCCTCTGCCAAGAATGCTTGAACGATGTTTTCATTGCTCTGCGGCCTTCATGGTCTTCGGATGAGTTTTCCGCTGGGGCACCGATGCTTGTGAATATGATGTACATTAGAGTGGCTCCAATAACGCTGTACTCTAACACAAATGGATATAAATAAGGCGAGGCTTGATCGAAGATAGTCTTTATGGAACGACATTTGGCCTCGGTGGTTTCTGATGTTTCTGAAAAGTCAAAAAAGAAAACTCGGTATTTAAAAAAAAATCTTGTTCATTGGCCATGGGTTTAAAGGGCAATGGGAACACAGAATGACGTGATGACGAAGGTAATACCTGTACTAAAGCGGACATTACAGACCTACTAGTTTAAAACATTTAAGGTTCCAGGAAAGATGTCCCAAATAAGACCAAAACGAATTTTCACTGTCTCATACCATCACGCTGGAAAACTGTTTATTCTAAGAAAATTTCCAAATGGCTACAAGTAAATGGTCAGTGATTTATATACGTACCAGTAGAGAGAGAGAGAGAGAAAGAGAAAGAGAGAGAGAGAGAGAGAGAGTAAGGTGCGAAATGGGTTGAAGCTAGGATAACAAAGATTGGCATTAAAAGTTTATAATTATGCCCCCACTAACCGGTTGAGTTTTCCTCGCTGTCTTTCGATGATTCGCCGAAATCTTCTGCAGTGTCCATTGCGGAGTAGGCAAAGAAGACGCAAATATTGGTGACCATCAGGTGCATGAAGACTTTGTTTGCCAATCGTGTCTTTGCTGTTACAACAATCTGAAACATATTTGAAAAAATAACTGTAATACTGGATAAGACATTCTGATGGACGTTTTCTCCATTTTCATTAAAAATCCGTCCCATAAAAAATGGGAAGTTTTGAGCTT